AAACTCTAGACTGAGAAAGAATCACATGAAAATCTAGCCTACTTGTAGACCATAGTCTTGTAGACTGTGTCCTACAAGAGATCTGTGTGAAGATTTTCATAATGCAGAGTCAACCCAAACCTCCTGAGACCGAGCATCTGAAAGGGCATCTGAGAATCTGTGTCTAAACCAGCTGCAAAGGTGGTGCAATGTGTAGGATTAGAACCCTAGAAACCGGCTTTACCCAGGGAGCAAGTTTTATACACTCTTTGGGCTCTAAGTTTTGAGCTTTTCAGTCACCTTTTTCAGCCTGTTCAGAAAACAGCCCTCAACCCAGTCTTTGAGGCTTGGACCAGAAATTGTGCTGATGGTAAAGGTGCTCATCCTCACTGCAGCCACAGCCCCGGTCACCACATGAAGGCCCGAAATACAGATAGTTCAAAAAGGATGTGACATGTGGTAACCAGCTGAATGCTGACTTAGACCTCCTTCTAGGTCTGTAAGCCCCCTGGCTGAATTCACATAGAGCAACTTCTTCTGTCTCTTATTATAAGTGTAATCAGTCCAGTAACTCATCTGGGCATCTGGCCTCTTGCTTCTTACAAAAGAAAGATGATGTACAAACAACATGGCTACCAAGAAAGTTGGAATTTTTTTTTCCTTTGAAATGATTGAAGGGGCTGGAGAGATGGCTCAGTGGTTAAGAACACTGACTGTTCTTGCAGAAGGCCCAGGTTCGAATCCTAGCACCCGCATGGCAGCTAACAACTGTCTGTAACTTCAGTCTCAGGGAATCCGACAGCCTCTTCTGACCTCTGCGGACATTGCATAACATGGGTGCACTTGCCTACATGCAGGAAATACATGCATACACATAAAATAAAAATAAATAAATAAATAAATAAATAAAATGGAAATGATTGACAATCACCCGCTGTGAGGCAGACCTGATACTTAAAATGAAATGCTGTAAGTACTGGTATCTCCTTGCTGGCTACATTCCCCTGCTGGGAAGCAGGATTGTGAGATAGGACAGTGGACAGCCCCAAACAGGACAAAGCTAGGATGTAGATGAATCATTTCATTGCATGGGTGAGCACTGTGTGGCTCTGAAAGGATGGAAGTAAATTCAGTCCCCTAGTGGTTTCCCAGGGGCAGTGATGTGGCTCAGCAGGTAAAGGTGCCTGATGATCTGAGTTTGATCCCCAGGGCCCACATGGTAGCAGGAGAGAATAGATTCCCTCAAATCATCCTCTGACCTCCAGGCAACAGTCCCCCCAAAACACACACACACACACACACACACACACACACACACACACACAAATAAACAAATAATAAATAAATAATCTAATAGAAGTAAATGTTTTAATTTAATGGTTTCTGGCTGTAAGAAGGACTCTGGGTAAAAGACCACAATGCCTCTCCATTTCTACCTTGATTATATACGCCAAGCATGCAGAAAATGGCTATCTGTGTAATACTAACAATATGGTAAATATACACATTTTCAATGAAAGGGAAAACCTGTTTCTTTTTGCTCCTAAAGACATGAGCTATGATGTTGCTCAAAATTTCTTCTAAAGAGTTTTAAAAAATGGGGAAAGAAACCTGTCTAAATGTTTGAACATCTTTTACCAAATTTCTGTACTAACAGTCTTTTTAATCTCCCAGAGAATGCCCAGCATACCTGGGTCTTATGTAATAGCAGCTCTCACCCGACAGGTATGTGTGAAAGGGAAACTTTCAGCACACTAATAACCGTCCTGACAAGGCAGAGAGGGGATGTTGCCTGTGCCGCAGGAAATTCTGTCTCCAGGAAATCACAAGTATAGCATGGTGTGCTTGGTGGACTTCTGTTTATGCTCTTGTTTCCTCCGCTGGCAATCGTTCTGTGGAGTCACTACCACAGGTAAAACGGAAAATTATTTCGGTTGTGTACAGCCCCAACTGGATGTTAAACCAACAGGATATATTAAACTCAGATAACTCTTACTTTAGAAATTTTTGAGCTGAAAAGAAAATAGAGCACCTTCCAAACAAGATGAAGATGTGATATTCGGGAGAAAACTGAAAAATGAAGTATCTGTAGTGTGGTGTGTGTGTGTGTGTGTGTGTGTGTGTGTGTGTGTGTGTGTAGGAAGAGAACTTTCTGGGGGAAAAATATGGAGTCTCATGACCTCACTTTTACCAGTATCAACAATAAAGCTGCTAACAAAGTTCAAGGGATTGTGTATCATATGAGACAGAAGGAATGCCCACAACGAGATTGGAGGCAAAGGGGAGACCACAGAAACTTGTTGCCTTTTTGTTAGCAGTCAGGTAACTAGCACTTCCATGACCTATTAAAGACCACTAACTATCCACCAAATCATTTCTTTCATCATAGCTAGATAAATAGTGGGTCAGAAAAAGACCTCATTCCACTGACCTCTGGGCAGTTGGTCACAGCTATGTGTCTAAATTCACACCAGTAGAACAATGAGGGAAGTGATGGGTTCCACTGACTAGCCTGCACATGCCTGTGTTTGCGTGACCTTCCCTCAAGCTGGAGCCCAGGCATGTCTCTAAGCAGCACAGACCTTGTGACAAGGAAAACAAAGGGAGGGAAAGATGAAGAACAGGATAGAAGAAACCTACAATCCTGAGTGGGGACATGGAGCAAAGCTAACCTAAACTAAGAGAAGACCATTTCTGTTTCTGTGATGTGTTCAAGGGCCTCTTCATAATCATGATTTAGTTTTCACCTGAACACATTAAATTTGGAAACCGAGGTTTTAGAATGGAACTTAAGAACCCTTAGGTGATATTGGCTTTCTCTGTTTAAAATTAACCTTCCCAGATTTCTACAAGTATTCTGCTTCAAAGGCAATGGTGCAATGGATATTTCCTGAGAGTTCACATAAGACAGCTTCACAAATTAAGAGAAGGGATATTATAAAATATATATTCTTAAAAATCATGATAAATTTATCAAAAGTAGAAAGATCCTTGAGAAATTGTGGCAATCAAAAATGTGTTAGAGGGTTGGAGAGATGGCTCAGAGGTTAAGAGCAATGGCTGCTCTACCAGAGGACCCAGATTCCCAGCACCCATGTGACAGCTAACAACCACCCATAACTCCAGTTCCAGGGGCTCTGATACCTTCTTCTGTCCTCCATGGGCATTGCATGACACAAGTGCACTTACACACATGCAGGAAATCCACTCATACACATAATATAAAAATATAAATAAAATATTTTTAAAAAACGTGTTAGACACAAATGTGTTCAGCCACCATACATAATTACAGGTAAACGTGTAGATACTGTGATTGGCAGAAGTGATGCCCCAAAACTCACAGGGGATGGTCCTAACTCCCAGTACTTCTGCATGTATTTACAGAGAGAAGTGATGAAAATGAACAAAGCCATTACTTTGGGCTATAATCAAATGATGGAGTCTTCAGAAGAGGAGATGAGAACACAGACAGAGGGCCAACCATGTGTCTTAGTTACCTTTTCTGTTCCTGTCAGGAAGCAGAGAAAAAAATGAATGCTAGTGCAACATGAACTTTCTCCTTTTTATATAATTCAGGATCCTACCCCAGGAGATGTGCTAACCACGGTAGGCATGTCTTCCCAACTCAGTTACCCTAATCGAGATAATTCCCCACACGCATGACCATCTGCCGAGTGATTCTAGATTGAATCAAGTTAATAAGTGAGAATAACCAGCGCACCAGGAAAACAACAGAGGCAGGTGATGGTCATCTACAGACTAAGGAAGAGGCAACAGAATAAACTCTTCCAGCGTCTGATCTGTCTTCAACCCTTAGAACTGTAAGAAAATGAATTTCTGTTGTTTGAGCTCCTTGGCTGATAGTACTTACTCCACTATGGAAGCCCAAAGAGACTAATACAAAGAGGAAGTCATCTTTGCAGCTTGTGAGTGGGCAAAGACCTGCTGAGCATGAAGCTGAGTCTTCAAATCACAAAAGCAAAGTTGGATGGGTTTAGCCTAAATCCATAGCTTAGAAGTTAATAGACCAGAGAATACATTTGCAACATTTGAAGCTGAAGGAGATTACCATCTGGAATATACCTTTCAGAAGACACAATACAGGTGCAAATTAACAAGAAAATAATGCAATAACAAAAAAATCTATTAAGAATATCCACATGTACAGCCCAGTTGTCTAACATGTATACGATTAAAAGCTCAACACTGTTAGTAACAGAAGAACTGAGTGTTTGAACACCAGTTGAAGTCTATGCTATTCATTAGGAAGTAAAACTTAAAATAGTAGACAATAAATGCTGGGTAGTAGAAGAGGATGCCAGAAATTCCTAGGTGCTAGTACAGGACACCAAGTAATCCAGTGGTTCTGGAAAGTAATCTAACAGTCTTGGGGGAAACAAATTTGAAAAGGACTGACAATCCAGCAGTTGACTTCTCACACAGAATAATCACACCTAAATCTATAAAAAAGCATGTGTCTGGGACTGGCGACTGGAGAGATGGCTCAGTGGTAAACAGCGCGTGCTACTCTTGTAGAATACCCGGGTTCGGGTCCCAGCACCCACATGACGGCTAACGACTGCTTGTCACGCCAGCTCCAGAGAGATCTGACTGCGCGGGGTTTTGTTTTATTTTGTTTCCTGTTATCTTATCACTCCTGCCTCTTCTTTCCTTCTTTTAGAAATGAAATTAACAGCTCAGAAGGTCTCTGGAAGAACATCCTCCCCAAATTCGTTTGTCCAGATCACTAGCAATACTGACAGATGTGAAAGCATCTGTGTTGATGAAAAAGGATTCTAATTCCTGTGAATCTGGACTTGCGTCTGCTTTCTTTAAAATGCCTTTTCTCAATGAGGTAGGACTGGGAACAGGTCCTGTAGGACAACCTGGGCATCCCAGTGCCCCATCCCACCTTTAGGAAGTCACACTGTGCCTTTAACAAACTGAAGGTGAAGGGCGGGGCTCCGCAGCGGCGCTGGCTCTAATTGGCCAAGCCGACAGGAAGTGGGCGTTGAACGCGCCGCTTCTGTTGTTGTGGGACTGCTAGGCGCGGGAGGCGTCGGTGGAGGCTCGCGGCCGCAGCTTCAGCCTGGGAAAACGGGCTCCCTTGGTGCCGCGGGATCCAGAGCCCCCGCAGCTGTTCTGCGCGTGTGCAGGGCCGCTGCGGGTCGGGGGCCGCTCGGAGGGAAGGGGCTGTCAGGGCGTCGGCCGTCGCGTTCGCATCCCGACCCTGACCCCTGGCTCCACCTGAGGTCTCTCTTTCCCCTGTTCTGCAGGCTCGCTTCCGGCGTCATGGCTCAAAGGGCCTTCCCGAATCCTTATGCTGATTATAACAAATCCCTGGCCGAAGGCTACTTTGATTCTACTGGGAGGGTGAGTCCAGGCCTGCCCGCTTGCATTGCCGCTTGCCCGCCTCCCCACCCCAGGGGCTCCGAGGGACCGCACTGCTGCCTGGAAGAAGGGGTTACCGCTCGCCGCTGACTAAAGGAGACACATTAGTGTCCTAGATACACCTTAGGATACACTGAAGTGAAAAGCCATTGTTAACATCCTAAACAGTTGAAGTAACTGAGGATAGAAATGATAAAAATGGGCAGCTTTGAACTTTACGTAGGTGGTTCCTGAGGGACCTGACGTTATTCGCCCGTGCCATGTACCTCAGTGTGCGAGAGTCGGGGCTGGGTAGTGGGGCCAGCAAACGGGCCTGTGGGAGGACGGCTTTAGAGGGATGGTGTTGAGAGAGTGTGGCCGATAGGCCTGAAATAATCCGCACCTCTAGCATTCTAGGAAGACATCCTCAAAGCTGAGGGTGGGTACCAAAAGAGAAAACAGTCACTTGAATATACACTGGATCACAAGGCTCTTGGAGAGGACAGCCTAGTGTCTTCCCCCTCGTGAATGTAGTCATTGGAAGGGAATTCGGCACTTCATAAGAATGCGTAGTTTTGACGGAGTACAGGAGATTCGAAGAGCTCCCACAGGTATGTAGCCCAGGCTGAACTTACAATAGCCCGGGCTCACCTTAAAATCACCATCTTCCCGCCTCAGCCTCCCCAGGCTAGAATTGTAAGGATATGCTATGTACCCAGTGTGTGCACATTTTTTTAAAAGAATTTAATGGGTGAGATCGAAGCCATCCTGGTACCCATCCCGTAGGGATTTGTAGGCTAGTGCCCTACATGGCTGTGCGGGTCTGAAGCTGAGCTGTGTCTAGACTGGTTGGAGGAGGACGTGCTGTTTCATGCACCTTGGCAGAGGCCAGACTTGAGGCCACCTCCCAGTGTCAGCTTCACTGTAGGCTGGCTGCTTTGAATCAAATGCTTTTTCACATTTCATTTTGAGTTTTCTAATTTTTTGTTTTGTTGCTTTAAAAAAAAATCTGTTTTTGTGTGTGTGTTGTGTGTCTGTGAGTGCAGGCTACCACCAGTGTGTCCCATCGGACAACTTTGAGGGGTTGTTCTCACCCTCCACCTTATTGAGGTAGGCCCTCTCTGTGTGTGCCCCTGCACTGTATACTCCTGGCTGGCCCTCCCATGAGCTCCCCAATGATTCTTTTGTCTCTGCCTCCTATCTCTTTGTGCTGAGATCACAGATGCTGTATCAAGCTTTTACTTGGGTTCCAGGGATCAAGTTCTGGTTAGTCAGGCTTATACAGCTAGGCTTTTACCCACTGAGACATCTCCTTGGCCTCTGGGGTTTTTTGTTTGTTTTTTAAATGCTGACCTAGAACTCTGTTTATACCCCAGACTAACCTTGAACTCACAACAGTTCTCACCTCAGCCTCCTAAGTAGGATTTCAGGTGTGAGCCACCACACCCAGCTCTCGTTTAATTCATTTCTCAGGGACACCAAAAAAGACACAAATCCAAGCTCTGACCCCCAGATAATAATGTGGCATGTGGTAAAATGTAGTTTGGATCCAACAAAGAACCTGGCAGCTAATTTTAAGTCATTTGATAATTTAACCCAAAAGATAAAACCCCGGAGTTCTGACCTCCTTAATTTAACACAGATTTTAGAAGTTGATGTGTGTTCTAATTGACTCTTCACACATTGCTCAAGTTAGAATAGTTTGATGGTCAAAGTCTCAAGGAGGTCACTGTTTCAAGTTTCAAATGCGGCTCGCGAAAAGCTGCTTCCTCCCGAAGCTGTTGTCCTCATTCTCCACCTCCTAAGGTTGGGTCAGCCAGGGTGATAAATTATACATGATCTCTGTACAGAGGATGGCATGCTCTCAAGTTGAGCTCCGTCCTCCAGCTGCTTGAGATTTAGACATTTTTAAAAATATTTTATGTGTATATGTGTATTGCCTACATGTAGGTAAGTGCACCCGTGTCGTGCAATGCTCACTGAGGACAGAAGACGCTGTCGGATCCCCTGGAACTGGAGTTACAGACAGTTGTTAGCTGCCATGTGGGTGCTAGGATTCAAACTCGGGTCTTCTGCAAAAACAGTCAGTGTTCATAACGCTGAGCCCTAGATTTATAGACTTACTATAAAAGCCTAATTTTATAAATCTCCAGCCCTAGATTTATAGACTTACTATAAAAGCCTAATTTTTCTTACTAAATGTACCTTCAGGTCTTGGAGTCAACCTTTTGGCAGAAATTGTTAAATAAATGGCATGTCTGTCAAACTGGTTTCTTAGTGGTGCTTTGGAATACATACCTTTTCAGGGATGCACCTCAGAAGTGAATCTTCTCTTTTAAAATTATTAGTGTTAGTGGGGTTGGTGTGGTAGAGAGCACTGGCCGCTCCTGCAGAGGACCTGGGTTCGGTTCCCACCACCTACATGGTGGATAACAATGGCTGTATTTCTAGTTCTGAGGGATCTGACACCCTCTTTTGGCTTCCACAGGCATTGCACAACACAGGTGCATTTACATACATGCAGGCAAAGCATTCATACACATAAAATGAAAATAAATATTTTTATTTTTTAATTTATGTGTATAGTGTATTCCCTGTGTGTGTGTGAGTGTGCCCATGTCGTGCAATGCTTGCAAAGGTCAGAAGAGGGCATCTGATGTTACAGGTGGTTGTTAGCCACCATGTGGGTGCTGGGAAGCAAACCCAGGCCCTCTGCAAGAGCAAACAGTGCTCTTAACCGCTGAGCTATCTCTAGCCCCAGAAATATTTTTTAAAATTATTAGTGTTAGTAATTCTGACAGTGCCTTCTTACAGTGTTAAGTAGCTCCTTTAAGTGTGTCTCCGTGTGTGTGCAGGCATACATTCATGTGTATAACTTAGAGGACAATGACTGCTCTTCCCTGGTGCTGTCCATCTTGCGTTTGTTTTGTTTTGTTTTTTTGAGACAGACTCTCACTTGCCTGGAGCTCTGCAAGTAGGCTAGACTGACTGGTCAGTGGGCCCCAGGGGTCAGCCTGTCTCCTCCCTGTGACTGAGATTATAGGCACATGCCACCATGTCTGTTTTTTTTTACATAGGCTCTGGAGATCAAACTCAAGTTTTCATGCCTGTAAGGCAGAGGTATCTCCCTAGCCCAAGAAGTTCCTTTTTAAAAATGAGATTATAGAAGCAACAGAATAGACTCATGAAAGTTGTCCTCTGACCTCTACCTGTGTACAGACACACACACACACACACACGCTCTTACACACACTAATAAGTAAAACAAATTCTGGTGATAACAGGTTTAGGTTTGTTTCTACAGTCCTTTCATGGTAAAACAAAATGTTTCTGCCTTGTAATGTCCCTCAGCCCTGTTTTGAAATTATTCCGACTCTGGAATCCTAGTCTGGGAATTGCAGCAAGTTCCTGCAATGATTGAGACATTGAAGTGGCTTTTTAAATTAACTTGTTCAGAATATACAAGTACCTTAAAAATACTTATCAGTTGTCTTTATGAAGAATATGATTTAGGAAAGTGACTGTGAGCCTCAGTTTGCCCATCAGTTGTGTAGGCCCTCACATGGCTGTTACTGGAACTATGTTTAATCTGTGCCCAAGTTCTTACCATCCATCCAAATTGGGCTGCTGCAAAGCAGTTGCACGGTGACTGTTTACCTCCCTGAATGGAAGGGATTTGTAGCACGGTCTCTCTAATCCCCAGAGTGAGCAGCATTTCAACATTTACGGGGCAGGTGGTACTCATCTGACTGTATGAAGGTCATTGCACCATACAGAGGTTAAGTGAGCAAGATCACTCAACCAATAACAGGTGAGGACGCACACTGGCATCCGAGGGACTGCTCATCATGCTGAGCTTAGCGTTTTCATTCCAGGTTGGAGTTCTTTCCTTTGCAGGTCCCAATGTTCATGAGTTTGTTGTGCTCTCTTTTGTTGTTTTTTAATACTGATACTTCATCCGTTTTTTAAATGTTTTTGATTTTTAAATATATATATGAGTGTTTGGCCTGCATTTATGTAAGTGTATCAAATGCGTGCAGTGTCCATGAAGGTCAGAAGAAGGCGTTGGATACCCTGGAACTGGAGTTTTGGACAGTTAGCCACCATATGGGTGCTGGGAACTGAAGTTGGTCCCTCTGCAAAAGCAGATGGCATTCTTAACTGCTGAGCCATCTCTCCAGCCTTGCTTTATCCATTTTTTAAAGTAACAGCAAAAATTAGAATTTTCATAAGGGCATTAACATTATCAGTGCTCAAATTCAGCACCTGAGAAACTTGAAGTGCCTAGATTTGTGCTTAAGAAAATGACTTTTTTCTTTTTTGAGACATGGTCTGACTGTGTAGCCCAGGCTGGCTTCAAAATCATTATCCTCCTGCATCAGCCTCCCGAATGCCAGGATTACAGTCAGTGCATTACTATAACCTGACTTATAGTGACTTTTTATTAAAATAATGATATTGACTTAAGTATGTTTCTTTAAGTTTCTGGAAATCTTAAACATTTCTTTAAGGACTGCTTTAAGTTTTACATGATAATATTTCTTAACTTGATTATAAAATGGTCTAATTACTGTTAAATTTCTTTTTTTAATTTTATTTTATGTGTATGAGTGTATTGCCTGCATGTATGTAAGTGCACTGTTGTTGACCAGTGCTCACAGAGGTCAGAAGAGGGCATTGGATCCCCTGGAACTGGAGTTACGGACAGTTGTTAATTACCATGTAGGTGCTGGGAGCTGAAACTGGGTCTTCTGTAAGAGTGGTCAGTGCTCTTAACCACTGAGCCATCTCTCCAGCCCCAGTACCATTACATCTCATTAATGTGCTATTATTGTCTAGTACAGGCAGAAAAGTGTGGTCTAAGTAGAAATAAAATACTTTCCTGGTTTTAGTCATCTATACTCTAGGAAGTTGGGTAGCCCGTTTCTTTAACTTTATTTGAATAGCCTCTTCCCTTAATTTCTACAGCTGACTCCTGAGTTCTCACAGCGTTTGACCAATAAGATCCGAGAGCTCGTTCAGCAAATGGAGAGAGGCCTGAAGTCGGCAGACCCTCGAGATGGCACAGGTTACACCGGCTGGGCAGGTATGGAGTGCAGACTGTGTGCTGGTGTGCACACTGTGCCTGAGAGCCACGCAGCACCTTTGATGGGCTGACAGTGCAGACTGCAGGTCTTCCTGCCTGTGCCTCCTGGGAGAGGTGACCGTAGCTTCTGGGTGTGAACACTGTTTGGGGCAGGGCCTAACCTTAGGAGGGTGACTGTTCTTATGAAGAGAAAAATTTATTTTCAGCATGATGCAGTTGATTTGAAGTATGCCCAAAACGGGCAAGGAGGATTTGTCCTCAGAAAGTGAAACATGTCTAGTAAGTGTCAACTTTAAACTGCTTCCTCATAGCTTTGATCTGTGAGGAGCCAGTTCTGTGAACGAGTTCTTCCATCTGTCCTTGCTCATTGATTTATATGTACCAGTCTCAGTCACTGAGAGCCTGGAGGAGGTTGAAGAACAAGCACACTGGTGTGGAAGAAGTGAGAGAGAAATCCGTGAAGGAAAGCTGGAGGAGTAGTTAGCCTCCCTGTCTTCATAATGGAGAGACAGGAGGACGGCTTCACAATCTTGAAGAAAGCAGTCTGGCACTCAGTGTTTCCCACAGACTTGAATGAAGAAGGAACAAAATTACTGCTTCAGGACTTTGAATCTGATTTCAAGGGACGATGCTTGTCAGGAGAATGCAGTTCCCTGGGCCTCATAACAGTTTGAGTCGGTGGATCATGAGCAGGAGCCAGGGATGCACAGCTTGCAAACATCCAGGGCCCATGCAGAAGCTATCTGTGGACTGCTGCTGAGAGCTGCTTTGTGACAGAGATATGCTAATAGCGGGTCCTTAGCAGTCTCTTTAGTGTGACAAATGACTCTCTATTCTTCACAAGGTTAGGGAAGACAGATAAAATCAATAGAATTATAATTGCAGGGAGCATGGAGGCCAACATTTTATAAAATAAGAATAGACAAGATGATGTCAGTCCACACCTCTTAGAGTTGAGCTTTAAGGTTTTTATGGATTTTAGAAGCTTGAACAAGAACTAAAGAATAAAGAACTAAGAAAATAAAATTGAAGTATTTTGTTTCAAGAAGGAAGTTATCACAAGTATCCTTTATTACCCTCTATGGTCCAACTGTAGCACAATTGACATACGAGTCTCCTTAATGAAGAATATTACTGTTCTTTGTTTTAAAATAACAATTTGAACAAAACAGGACAAGAGCCATGTACAGATGCTATAGCTTTTCTTTTATCATCACATTGTAATAGCACCTAAGGCCTGGACTTGCAGATCCTTTCCTAGTATATTTGAAATTTCTATTTTATTATGCCTGGCCAGAGACAAAGAGGAAGAGATGCAGCCTGACCTAGACAAATAGTTAGATTTAATTCCAGGACAGATTATAAAAAGTGACTTAAATCCCCAAGTCACCCATTCAGATGCACTTTTATTATTATTATTATTATTATTATTATTATTATTATTATTATTATCATCATCATTAAGAACTTTTCTCAGTCAGGGAAGTGACTCAATGGCTTCAAATTTGAATGATTAATTTAATAGTATCAGAAAAAGCCATCAGTCAGATCCCTAAATCGCTAGGGTTAGTTGAAAGCTAGAAGTCACATGTTCTTAGGAAAAGAACTTTCTCTCTGAAGTGAAATGCAACCTGGTTTAAAGTCTTGGGCTGTGTTACATTTCTGGCATCATGTTTGACTGCAGTGTCTCATCCTTAAGTATCTCTCACTCTCGTTGGCTCCGGAAAGAAGCTTGTATGGCTAGTGTCTGGGGCAAATTGGCGTATAAACAATTTAGGATAGCTTTAGTTGAAGATAGGAAGTAGCATAAAATCTTCTAGATAAATTTGCTAATGGCTTTCGAGGCAGGGTTTCTAATGTCCCCCTAATGGAACCCTGTTAAAAAGCCATTATTCCCACATAACATAGACTGTCTCCTCCAGTGTTTTGATAAAAGGTTCCCCTGTGCTGTTATTCAATCTGAAAATGTAAAGCTTGGAGTTGCCTTAAAAACCAACACTGATTCGACCACAGGAAATCATAATCTTTATGCTCTCTGTTATCTTAGAGCTTACAGACTTCTGTCTAGTCACAGTTGCAATTTTATTACCAAAAAAATGCAGCCATAAACAACATAATAGAAAACTTGATGTCCCGAGTCAAAGCAGTGACCGTCTGCTGATGCGCATTCTTATATGTGGCTTTGTATGTGCCCCTTGGTATCTTAAAAAATGATGCTTTTTAAGAAACAAGATACTTTTTTAGCTCAGCACAAAACTTAGGACCATACTTTTATAAATATTGCCTTATTTATTGTTGCTCTTTTTGTTAATTTTTCCACAAACACATTATTTTGGAAAATGCTAATTCATTGTAGAAAAAAATTAACAGTTTCTTCAATACCTGATATTTATTGAGCATTTGTTGTCAGTGGACAGTGAAAGGTATTAGAAGTTATCATTACATTACTATATGGTTTATATGAGCGAATGTTGCAACTATTCTCCAGTAATATGTGGGCTGATAGCCCGTGCCAGAATAGAATTAGGTTTGGAATACAATTAGGAATACAATTTGGAATACAATTAGGTTCAGTGGTTTAAATAAGATAGTTTATTTTTCTCCTGTGTAAAAAAAGATGGGAGGCAGCTGAGGGCTGATATAGTAATCTCAGGGTATTATAGGGACCCAGATAGTTTCTTGCCTTTTGTTTGTTCTCATCCCTCAGCCAGTAGCTCTTCCTCCTGCTCAGGGTGGCTGCTAAAGGTCCAGCTGTTACATCAGCTTTTCAGGCTGTGGAAGGAAAAAGAAAAATGTATTCCCTTCCCTTAAAAAGATTTTCTGAGGGGCTGGAGAGATGGCCCAGCGGTTAAGAGCACTGATTGCTCTTGTAGAGGACTCAGGTTCGATTCCCAGCACCCACATGGTGGCTATGAACTGTTCCAGGGGAATCTGGATCACTCTTCTGACCTCCGCTGGCATTGCACAACACGGGTGCACTCACATACATGCAGGCAGTACACTCATACACATAAAATAAAAAAATAATAAATAAAATTTTTTTAAGATTATTTTCTTGAAGTCCCACTCAGTGTTTAAGTTTGACTTAATGTACATTAGCTAACACATGGTCAGTCCTGTTAACAGGGAGGGGTGGTAAATGTCTGTTAGCTAGAGTTCCCTTATTAAAGGAAAATGTAGACTTTAAGGTAAAACTGGGTAATCTCATGGAATTCCTAAGTAGCAAGTAAAACTATAATTACTATGGTGGGGTTTTTGGGGGTTTTTTTTTGTTTTTTTTTTTTTTTTTTTTTAAGCAGGGTTTTTTTTGTCTTTTTGAAGCAGGGTCTCCCTGTAGCCCCAGCTGGCCTGGAACTCACTATGTAGACCAGGCTGGCCTTGAACTCACAGAGATCCACCTGCCTCTGCCTTCCAAGTGCTGAGACGACAGGCGTGCGCCACCACACACGGCTAATTGCTATGTTTTATACAAGTTACTTGGACCTGTCCCTTTTTTAAATCTTTTCCCATCTGCAAAGGCTCTCTAACATCTATCTACTTTGATGGTCATTTCTGTAAGAATAAAATTACCAACATTTTAATGTATTTTAAAATCTTTCAAGCAGTATTTTGCTTTCTCTTTATTTTTAGGGAAACTCAAAACAACTTTCTTCTTTTTCAAAGTCTTCATTTCATAAGTCTTTTTCTTTTCTTGCCTTTTCATAAAACCCGATATGGCAAAGAATGCAAACTCATTTATAATAACTTTTCTAGAACTCAGTATACCTTGTATCTGGGAGACCACAGTTAATTCCATTCTTTGTGCTATGAATCGCTGCTGTTTTCTCTGAGTAAATAGTTGTCTGCCTCCCCTTTCTGCTTCTTCTCAAACCCCTGATTGCTGTTGTGATCTTGAAAGTGAAGAGTTCTAGTGGAAGACGAAGCACCCATGTGCTTAACATTACATGTGTACTTACACCTGAAGAAACCTGGACTCCCATAGTTTTTCCCATTTTTGATCTTTCAGCAAATTTGAGGCTAATGGGGACAGGATACTTCTAGAATTTCTGCTAGAGCACCTCTGTGTGTGGTATGTGATATGGAAAATAATGATTACAATTTGTTGTGTTTCATTCCCTGGTAATAGTCTGTCTGATAGTTAATTCTGGCTCAGATAAGATTAAGATTTAGAATATCCATACAGGTAAAGAATACTTTATTGGTGAGGGTAATATATACAGGTTTAAACAGAACTTTAAAAGAAGTAAATAAGGGGCTGGGGAGCTGGTTCAGCGGGTAAAGAGCTTGCTGACCAAGCATAAGGACTGGGGTTTCCCAGCATACACATAAAAACTGTGAGAGTGTGATGGCCCACTGTTAGTCCCAGCACATGCATGTAATTCTAGCGCTCAGGAGACAGAGATGGTATTCCTGGGCAAACTGGCTACCTAGACTAGAAAATCCACCAGCTGCAGGTTCAACAAGAGACTGTCTCAGTAAATACGGTGGAAAGTGACCAAGGAAAACACCAAATGGAAGTGGGGGCATATTGTACAGAGCTTAGAGTGGTTCATCTGGAATTTTAGTAAAATTCAAACATAGCTGAGATGCCATCATGAAATCCCATATCCCTGGCTTTAACCTTTATACACTCATGATAAAGAAGCACAATTCCATGAACTTGGCAAAAAGAAATTTTTCAAAACCCCAAAACGATCGCATTTCATCACAGGAGCCATTTGGTACCATAAATCCCTCCAGTCTCTTCTCATTCATCCGGTAGGAAGGTGTGATTAATCAGATTTTCAGGCAGTAATTGAGAGTTTTAACAAATTATTACCATATACTGTTAAGTGTGGGGGTGGAATCAGTAATTTAATAACAGAATATGCTGAACGAACTCTGCGTGGTGGTAGATGCCTATAATTGCAGCACTTGAGAGGTAGAGATACGAGGGCCAGGAGTGCAAGGTCACCCTTAGCTACAATGCTAAGAAATCCCTATCTCAAGAAAACAGAAAT